ATATTTCATCCCACCAATGAAAGACAAGTGTTTTTAATACAAAAAACACCAACCTTCAAATAATCATGTTCAGTTATGCACTCAATACTTGGTCAGGAATCCTTTTGCATGAATGACTGCTTCAATGCGGCGTGGCATGGAGGCAATCAGCCTGTGGCACTGCTGAGGTGTTATGGAGGCCCAGGATGCTTCGATAGCGGCCTTAAGCTCATCCAGAGTGTTGGGTCTTGCGTCTCTCAACTTTCTCTTCACAATATCCCACAGGTTCTCTATGGGGTTCAGGTCAGGAGAGTTGGCAGGCCAATTGATCACAGTAATACCATGGTCAGTAAACCAGTTACCAGTGGTTTTGGCACTGTGGGCAGGTGCCAGGTTGTGCTGAAAAATGAAATCTTCATCTCCATAAAGCTTTTCAGCAGATGGAAGCATGAAGTCCTCCAAAATCTCCTGATAGCTAGCTGCATTGACCCTGCGCTTGATAAAACACAGTGGACCAACACCAGCAGATGACATGACACCCCAGTGACTGTGGAAACTTGACACTGAACCTCAAGCAATGTGAATTCTGTGTCTCCTCTCTTCCTCCAGACTCTGGGACCTTGATTTCCAAAGGAATGCAAAATTTACTGTAATCAGAGAACATAACTTTGGACCACTCAGCAGCAGTCCCAGGCGAGATGCTTCTGACGCAGTCTCTTGTTCAAGAGTGGCTTGACCTGGGGAATGTGGCACCTGTAGCCCATTTCCTGCACACGCCTGTGCACGGTGGCTCTGGATGTTTCTACTCCAGACTCAGTCCACTGCTTCCGCAGGTCCCCCAAGGTCTGGAATCGGCCCTTTTCCAAAATCCTCCTCAGGGTCCGGTCACCTCTTCTCGTTGTGCAGCGTTTTCTGCCACACTTTTCCCTTCCCACAGACTTCCCACTGAGGTGCCTTGATACAGCACTCTGGGAACAGCCTATTGGTTCAGCAATTTCTTTCTGTGTCTTACCCTCTTGCTTGAGGGTGTCAATGATGGCCTTCTGGACAGCAGTCAGGTCGGCAGTCTTACCCATGATTGCGGTTTTGAGTAATGAACAAAACTGGGAGTTTTTAAAAGCCTCAGGAATCTTTTGCAGGTGTTTAGAGTTACGTTGTTCATGCAGATGGTTAGGTTAATAGCTTGTTTAGAGAACCTTTTCATGATATGCTCATTTTTTGGGACAGGCATTTTGGGTTTTCATGAGCTGTATGCCATAATCATCAGTATTAAAACAAATAAAGACCTGAAATATTTCAGTTGGTGTGCAATGAATCTGAAATATATGAAAGTTTCATTTTTATCATTACATTATGGAAAATAATGACCTTTATCAGAATATGCTAATTTTTTGAGAAGGACCTGTATATAACATGAAGACTCTTGATCACTGAATCAAGTGTGTTGGAGCACAATCCAGAACCGTGGCCCTTGTGGATCAGGATTGGACACCTCTGGTTTAAAGCCGGCTGTCAAAATACACAATTTTTCAATGTCTTGATTAAAATTTTTATGGTTGTAATGTTATAAAAATTGTTGTTACAACATTTTTACGTAACCAATGATTGATGGCTGTTCACAAAGGTGCTGTGTTCTTAAGATGCCCCGAGGTGCGAGGTGATCAGATCCTTTCAGAGGTGATCAGATCCTTTCAGAGGCGATCAGATCCTTTCAGAGGTGATCAGATCCTTTCAGAGGTGATCAGA